ACAGGCATTGGTGGTCATTCAGGATATGCTTCGGGTTTTCATAGTTCGTATTGCATGTCAAAGGGTTGAACATGCTTCTATCCTTCTGAGGCCCATATTTTCATCTATCAGAGATGGTATTTTGGATCAGTCATCAACAAGAGACACTGAAGCTTATATGGTGTTTGTTCAGCCTCCCTAACTCGCTGTCTATGTTACTGCTGCTCCTAACCAGTCTCATTACTCTCTTTCAGGTCTACCGATATCTTAATTTTCTGGCTAGTTTATTAGAGCACCCGCATGCTAAGGTCATACTCTTTGCCTCACGATCATAGTTTTCTTTCACTTTTTTTTTTTGTTTCTTTTTCACCTGAAATCTATGCACTTCAGGGATTACTCTTAGAGGAGGGTATTGTTCAACTGCTTGTGGAAGTTCTGGAAAGATGTTATGATGCCACTTATCCAAGTGAAAACAGGGTTCTAGAGTATGGAATTGTGTCCGAGTCTAGTGTGATTCAGTGGTGTATTCCAGCTTTCAGATCGATCTCACTGCTATGTGATTCACAAGTGCATCTCTTGTGCTTTCAGAAGAAAGAGCTGTAAGTGTGTTTTCTGCAGGCGTGCTTAACGTTACCATTTTTGGGTGCCATTTATAACATGGAACCTAATTGTACTAGTATTACCTTATCTAGATCACATTTTATCTCTATTCGATATTTTATTTATATTAACTTGTACAGATTGGTCAGTTTGAGTGCAAAAGATTGTGCATTGATTTTACCCTTTGTGCTGAAGTTCTGCCAGGTATATCAAAATTTGTCAACATTGTTGTGATCTATGTTTATCAATTTTTTTACCGATGTTATTACGTTTGTGTTCTTCTTATGTTGCTCATCTAGTCCCTTGGAGATATAATAAAATTGCTGCACCTAATATTATGCTACTGGTTATAAATTATGATTTTTTGTGGCAATAGATTCTGAAATATCGATGACTCTTCTAAGAGATATCTTTGTGATATTTCCTTACCAAACTATGATTACGAAGTAAGATTTTCTTTTTTTACAGGTCTTGCCTGTTGGCAATGAGCTATTATCTTGTCTCGGCGCTTTCAAAGACCTGATCTCATGTGGTGAAGGTCAAGATGGTCTGGTTTCACTTTTGTTTCAATTGTTTTCTGGTGCCGAAGAACCTGTATCTGAAAGGTGGTGTGACACTCATAATTTGAGTCTCGATCAACTAGAAATGAAGAAAAATCCCCCTTTTCTGTCTTGCTGGATCAAGTTATTGAACTCAATTAATTCAAAAGATGGTTTGTCTAGTCTTGCAATTAAGGCAGTAAACGTTCTGAGCGTGGGCTCCATCAGATTATGCCTTGATGGTAAAAGGTGACTCCCAGACTCTTAATAATCTACGAAATTCCTGTTCACCCAATTTAACACGAATTTGATAGGATTTTATAGTCTGATAGGCGACGTGTCCTTGTATGCCATCTTGACTACGTATGTGGATAGAAACATAATGTCCGCTGATGCCACTTAGTTTAAGTTGGTGCATACATTTTAGTTAATCTGGTTTTGCTCAATTGATATAAGCCTAAAAATCATCAAGTAGAAGATGTGCTTAGTAGTACTTCCAACTAGTTCAAATCATTCCTTTAACATATATATGTATATATTTAACGCATCAATTAAACTCTAGTCTACTTTTCTTCATTTTTCCAGTTTGAACTCGAGGAAGGTTGCAGGACTAAAATCCCTCTTTGGCCTTCCAAGTGAGTTTAGTGGTTCAGACACTTTTAGAGAGGAAAATATTGGTTTGATTGAACAAATGGTGACATTGTTGAGTTCAACGACTTCTGGATCTGATAGTTCGGAAACAGCTGAGATGAAGCCCTATTTGCAGGAGGTACGGACTACTCATGCCTGCTTTTTCTTGCATCATCCACTTCTTTTGTTGTTTTCCTCTTGACACTGACTTCCATATTCTCTTTGTGGATTTGAAGGCATCTCGGTCATTGCTGTCATTGCTAAAAGACGGGAATATTGATGATATTATCTCCTGCAAAGGTGTTCTTGTTTCTCCTGGGAATTTTGATATGGATGATTTGGACTCTGAAAACATTGAGGACGATCTCTATCAAAGAGGACTTGAAGACAAGTTCTGGTGGGAATGTCCAGAAACATTACCTGAGCGTCTGCCCCAGTCATCTCTCCCTGCGAAAAGGAAACTACCAACTTTGGAGAGCTCTAGCAGGCGTGCTAAAGGCGAAAACTCTTCTGTTGACATACCGACCCAAAATTCAGTTCACCGGGCGCTGGGTTCTTTATCCCTTCCTCCTGCTCCCTCACGTAGAGATACCTTTAGGCAGCGCAAGCCGAATACCAGCAGGCCTCCCTCTATGCACGTAGATGATTATGTTGCTAGGGAAAGGAGTGTTGATACAGCTGGTAATTCTAATGCAATAACCATTTCACGAGCAGGATCTAGCAGTGGTAGACCTCCATCTATACATGTTGATGAGTTTATGGCCAGACAGAGAGAACGAGGCCAAAATCCCTCCACCATTGTGGTTGGAGAGGCTGTTGTGCAAGTGAAAAATCCTACTCCTAGAAATTCTGAAAAAGTTGCAGGAAAACCTAAACAATTCAAAGCCGATCCTGATGATGATCTACAAGGAATAGATATAGTGTTTGATGGTGAGGAGTGTGAAGGACCTGATGACAAGTTGCCCTTTCTTCAGCCCGATGAGAACCTTATGCAGCCTGCTCCTGTCATGGTTGAACAAAACTCTCCTCACTCCATTGTTGAAGAAACCGAGAGTGATGCCAATGGAAGTAGTCAATTCTCTCACATGGGCACACCAGTGGCATCTAATGTTGACGAAAACGTTCAGAGCGAATTTTCATCAAGGATTTCAGTTTCACGCCCTGAGATGTCGTTGATTCGGGAACCAAGCATTTCTTCAGACAGAAAATTTGTTGAGCAAGCAGACGAATCAAAGAAAATGGCCCCTCTAAAGAGTGCCGGCATATCTGAATCTGTGTTTGTACCTGCTTACAACATGCCAGGATCTTCAGGACAAAATTTGATTGATCCTAGAGTGGGTCCTCAGGGCTTCTATTCAAAGAGTAGTCAGCAACACACGGGCCATATTCATGGTGGATTCAGTGGTCGGGGGGTTTATGAACAGAAAGTGATGCCAAACCAGCCTCCTTTACCCTTATTGCCACCTCAATCAGTCTCACCTGTGATACCACATTCCTCTGATTCTCTTTCTAATCAATCCTCCCCGTTTATTAGTCATGGAACACAATCTTCAGGAGGACCCATCCGGCTTACGCCACCCCTCCCTTCAGCAATGCCCCAGTACTCATCTAACCCATATGCCTCGTTACCACCAAGGACATCTACAACTCAATCTTTTGGATACAGCCAGGCAGGCGTAGGTACCACTGAACAACAACAGAGTGGGCCAGTCATTGATCATCAGTCTGGCAATCTATCTGTTTCAGGTACCGGAATGATCTCTTACCCTCCCCACACTTTAATGTCAGCCCATAATTTTAGCAGGCCATCATCTCTCCCTGTGCCATTCTATGCAAATCCTTCGCATCAAGGAGGTGATAAGCCGCAAACTATGTTGTCGGTTCCCTCCATCCCTCAATCACTCAATCCACAGTCCATCCCTCAGCTGCAATCGATGCAGCTTTCACAGTTACAACGCCCTATGCAGCCTCCTCAGCATGTTAGACCACCCATACAGATATCTCAACCATCAGAGCAAGGAGTATCAATGCAAAACCCATTTCAGATTCCAATGCATCAGATGCAGATGATGCAACAGACGCAAGTCCAGCCGTACTATCACACTCCTCAACAGCAAGATCTCTCTCAGGTGCAGCAACAGCCACAGCATCATGCTGTTCAAGGTCAGCAAGGAGCTGGGACTTCTCAGCAACAAGACTCTGGAATGTCATTACATGATTACTTCAAGTCTCCAGAAGCCATTCAGGTTTGTAATCCACATCCTTGGTAATGATACACATTTGTTTTGTTTAGTAGTATTTCGTGCCACAGCTGACCATAATTCTTTAAACTCCTCTTCAGTCTCTATTAAGTGACCGTGACAAGCTGTGTCAGCTTCTGGAACAACATCCAAAGTTAATGCAGATGCTTCAGGTTGTTTTCTAAACCGATTTGTTTACTTGTTTTTAGGTGCTTTTTGAAAGCATCATCAAACCTTTCGTGTGATTCTTGTAGAGTTACACTGAAATGGTTTTTTGTTCTTTGTTGGTTGTGACAGGAAAAACTTGGGCAGCTATGAGGAGAGAGAGACTTTTAGCAAATACATCACTTTGCTTACTAGTCGCTTTTCTATTTCTGTAATGTTTAATAACATGTACATTGTTTCAGTTAATATGTAGACAAAAGCGGTAATAGGTATCGCTTTCTGTTGTTGTTTAGTCATATTCATGTACATTAGCAAGAAAACAAAGTCCTCCTTCAAGTTCAAGTCTTGTTTTTTTTTTCAAAGCAACAAGCCTGTATTTGTAAGCCACGAGCATAAGACTCGATTAGGGAAGTAACACACATTGAGGACTTAACAAGCTTTACATTTATAATCCTTTAATGTAACATTAACGTACATGATAACACTAATTGAAGGAATTACAGTGACTAAAATCATAAAACCTTGAAAAGGCCTTAAAGCCCCAAAAGAACATTTGAAATCTACCCCACTAAATGACCCAACAAGATTTTAGCCGAATGTGAATTGAAAAAAAAAACACAAAAAGAAGAAAGATTTGTCCTTTGAGCCCAGCAAATTTCTGACACACATCATCAAGTAGAGGCATTGAAAAGATCTTGTACCAACGAGGAAAAAGAAAGAATACTGTAGAGAAGAGAGAGAGAAAGCGAAAGGGATCGGGTGGAGTTTGGATGATATCAGAGTTGTCCGTAGATGCAATAAGATTAATGCTCTAGTTTTTCTTAGTCCTCTTGGAAGAAGTACCATTGAGAATCTTAAAGATTCAACATTTAGGGTACTCTTCTCTCTGATAAATTTAGCAAGCAAAAAGATGATGTCTTTCTATTTCTAGGGCTGAGTTCGTATACTAACCAATTCGTCCTAATTGAAAGTTGCTTGCTTTATGTACTCTTTGTTTAGTGAACTTGCATTTCTGTACTCGATCGTATTCATCTCTGCACTCGCTCATACTTGTGTGAAATGATGAATGTTTTGCTGAGTTTATGTTTGGTTTTCTGGGTTTTAGGCTGCAAATTTTTGTAAATGGATCTCATTTCTTGCTCTCTTTTCATGGTGATTATCTATTCAGGTGCCTGAAATACATAACAATCCAGCTTTTGCTCTATGGAGCCTCGTGTAAGTATATACTAAACAAAGATGATTTACTGGTTTGTGGGTTTTTGTTAATGGAAAATGTTTAATTGCTGAAAATGTTCGTTTTCTATTTTCGACAGGATAATCAAGCCGAGGCTTCATATACATTTGGTGATCGATCGAGCAGTGACATAGTTGTTAGACTAAGAAACGAAGAAGGCCGTGATGATTGGATCTATTGCCATTCCAAAATCCTTAGTGAGAAAAGCCAGTACTTCGCTGACCGTCTCTCTGATAAATGGCCCACTTGCAAGATTCTTGATTCACGCTACTGTGTTGAGGTCATCTGTCAAGAATCAGACTATGATCACCATATCAATCTCTTAAGACTTCTCTATCTTGTCTCTGATGATGTCCATGAGGATAACTTGTGTCATAATGTGAAAAGTGCGTTGGGGATTCTCTCTGTCGCTAAAGAACTTAGTTGCCCTCAGATTGTCACTGCTTGTGTGAACTACTTGGAAGCTGTTCCATGGGAAGAAGGCGAAGAGGAAGAGATTCTGCGGACTGTACCGAGAATTGGATCAGAAGCAGAGCCGATTCTTGCCCGTCTCCAACCAGTTGATCAGTCCGCTGTTACTGAAATCTTTGTATCGGCTTTTAGGTTTGCTACTTCGTCCCCGCCTTTGCCCTTGGGTGACATAAAATCCTCGGCTCAAGAACAGATTGAGTATATGATAACCGAAGATGACGATGCACCGTTGTTGATTGCTGATGAAGAAGTCAAGCTTGAAGTAAAAGAATGTGTAAAGAGCCTGTTTGGTAGATTCTTCCAATGTCTAGAAGAAACCTCTTTCAAACCCGTCGAGTCTGAGGTTATTAACAAAAAGGGGTCTTTTAGGATGGTTCTTTCAGATTTGTCGTGGGCTTTTCAGATATTAACAAAGATGGAAGTGGTTAGAGATTTTGTTATAACATGGGTTGACATATCTGAGAAGTTAGTTAAGGTAGTTGAGCAGTTGGAAACAACAGTTGCAGAGACTGTTGAGATAAGAGTCAAGGTCATTGAGGTGACTGCAAAAGTCATAGAGGCGATCGGTTATGGAACAGTGATATTGCCAACAGCGAAAAGGCTTGAGATGGTAAAACTATGGCTTCCTTTTGTAAGAAACACAAAGCCACTTGTTGACTCACCGGTTACTGAAGATGAGGAGAATGGTACTGTGAGATATAAAATTGATGGAGAGATATGGCAAGCTTTAGAATCTTCCTTTGTATCGATAATTCTGGCATTGCCATCCGCAGACCAAGCTGAGATATTAACGGAATGGTTAGGCAAGAATGGGTTGTATCCGGATTTGACAGAAGCTTTTGAGGTTTGGTGTTACAGATCAAAAGTCGCAAAGAGAAGATTGGGTTTGCTTGGCGGCGAGGAAGATGAGAACGGTATGTCTTAACTCGTTTCCTGGGCTCTGAATGAAGAAAGAGTAACATTTAGTTTGTTTTTTGTTGTTGTGTAGATGTCTGTCTTTTAACCCTTTTTGTGTGTTCTCTGTCAAATCCTTCATATTATCCATTGGCAGTTTCCACAAATCTGTAAATACTGATGACAAAGATCTTGTCTTTTTTTAATCGCTAAGAGATATTTCCTACTAAAATTAAATCTGTAGAATGATCTATCGTCCTATCGATTATTTCTGGTTTTGCTGCAAACTCAGGTCCCATTTTGATCTCTAATAAACAACACTCTTGATGACAGTTTATATAGACAAGTTATTAGAGACGGCCTCAGTTTGACTGACTATTGTTTAGTTTATATAAACATTTAAAGACTGAAAAATGGTAGGGGCTGCGCGAACGCAAACCCCCTCTGCCACAAATAATGACGTAGGCTCTTCCTCAAGGGAAGACCTTAAGCATAGCACCCTTCCGGTATGTGCAATGGAAGTCACTAGCCTAGGCCACTCGTCTTCTTGATCGCGAGTTGACCCCGTCCAGGTAAGTAATTTTCTCGATCTCATGGCTCTCTTATTTATACTCTGTTTTAGAAGCCTCCTTTGCTTCTTGTTACCGATGTGGGACTTTTGCTAAACTCCACATTTTCCACCGTTTCTAAATTTTAGATTCTCTACTGGGCCGGTCTCTTTGATGGCCCAAATTCAATTATTTACTAGGAGTCTAGGATGTTGTAGAATGACCCATGTTCGGATCCAACTTTGGGCCGTTCTAACTTTGTGAAGACGCACAGCGTGTCGTTTGTTGTATTAGGCTTAATGAAACGCGACCGTTAAGATCTTTCTGGTGGCCCAAAGTCAGAGTATTACTCTACTCGGATAGATGCTACAGTTTGGATCCAACTTGATAAGCTTTTTACATATTCAATAGTTTTTGCGTTTTGTTGGACAGTGCATAGTACAGTGGGATATAAAAAATAAATTTCTTTTTCAATGAAAGATTATCGCACTTGTATCATATACAATGCTAAAAATAAAGGTTCAGGATCTGAACAAAAAGACGAAAGAAAAAAAATCAATTTTCTAACGAATCTAATAATAAACAATTGAAGCAAGTGTTTTAGTGGAGCCCTAGCCTCAACCAATGGGGTTGTCTTGTGTCTAGAATCATCTTAACTACATCTTCTACAAATGAATCAAAACAAGAATAGCAACACCCTTTCATTAGGCTGCTGCTGCTACTACTACTACTGCTGCCAGGTATCATATGATGGTGAGTACACGTCACTGGTGGCGGAACAAGATGGACTTCACTGCTCTTGTGGTCAAGTCCACAAGCTGCCAGTATCGTGTGTATTGAGCACGTGGAAATCTCGTCGAAAGTTGTTTGACCTGAACAAAACAGTGGACGAATACCGAAAAACTACAATCAGAGGGCAGATAAGAGTTGAACCTAAAACATTGTCTCAAGGGCAGAGTTATGCAAAGCAGAAACTAATCAAATACTTAATGAGTCGTAGATGTGTGTGCCTAAAGCCATAGTCGACATCGAAAATAAGCTAGGCAAATATGTAAGCTACAATCCAAAACTATCTAAGAAGTGTCATGCAGAGAAGAACTAATCCAAGAAGGTCTACACAAAACGTCAATCAAATTGTGTCCCTAGCTCCAAATTTAAGCTAAACCACTAAATTATAAAACAACACCTAAAGGTAATTCCACTTCACATTTAGAAACTGGAAACAAGACTATAATGTAAATCAAAGAATAGCAGAATATACTAGCCGGGTTAACCAAGAGCGTGAAGAGAGAACTGGATTATGTGTACCTAAGTCGATTTGACTGGACAAGTTTTTGAGATGCGCTTTAACTCTTTGTGGCAGTCGTTCTCCTGCCATGGAAGACATTGTGTTTGGCATGTAGCTGTGAAGATGTTGTTGATTACCAAACAAGGGATCACCCTGAGCCAGCCCATGACATAATCCTAAATCGATAGGCCGCTCACCAAGAAATGTATTATTAGACAAACGTCTGAATGCTTCTTGGCTTCCAAATTCATCTAACTTTGGAGACAAAAGCCCAGGGTTATGGGCAGAAATCAATGAATTGTTGTCGGGTAGTCTTTCCTCAGAGATTGTAAACAATGACACACCTGTTTCTTGGCTCGCTGCAGGCTGAGACGGGTCGATTGTTCGCCCATGACCTACTTGTGTAGTCACAAAACCATCACTCGAGTTAGCAATCGATGTTCCACCAGTTCTAGCACCCATATTAATAAGTCTATCACTGTTGATAATATTTTGTATGTGTCTGTGAAGCGTCCTTCTACTTGATAATGTGGTTGCCCCTAAGCCGGATGGAGAAGAACCTTGAACATCACCATTAGGAAGCCTTGGAGAAAATAGGTTCTCTCCATTGAAAAATGGTGTACGTGGGGAGACTAGCAAAGACGCATCTTGATATTGCCCTGAAACTACAAGAGGTGATGGTCTACTGTAAAAGCCACTAACCCTTTGTTGCTCGGATGTATTATGCGTTTGGGAACTAGCTGATCCAAGTGCAACGGGTCTACAACCTTCACAGTACCAGTTTCCTTCAGGTACTTCCCTCCCGAGACCAACACAGTACGTATGGGCAGATGAATCACAAAGATCACAAAGCAACATAAGCCCATCATCATCACCTTGGTGACATTCAGTGCATATTATATTTTCATAGGGATCGAGATAACTCCTCAACTCTTCTTCAGTAGGTTGATAGACCTGAACACAGTAAAATCCCATATAAGAAAATTTATCACACAAGAAGTGACATGGAAACACAACACAACCACGCCCATAGGTTAACAAAAGTTGATAAGGTCTCACTATCATGTTGGCAACTTTTATGTATTGACATGTTAAACCACGACAAGAAGGAATGTCTATTTGGACCTCAAATGTGGAGTGTTGAAAGACATAATGGACGTATTTGGAAAGAAGACCACAACCAACATTCATGAGGATACCACTATACCAGTATAAGTAATTAGGTAGATCAACTAAAGACACTATAGGCGTAAACCAAGAGTAGTCAAAACAAACCTGATCACGTTCAGGTACAGTTATCACAACTTCTCTCAAATCTACTCCAGGTGTAGATCTTGCAGGCTTACTGATTGTTCTGAACCGCTGCTTGCAAAGCGGGCAGCGAGATTCTACTTTTGACCACTCCATTATGCAAGTGAAACAAAAGTAATGGCTACAGCAGTCCAATGTTCCCTTCAATCTCCGCATGTCTTCCTCAGACAGACAAATCCCACAAACGTTTTTTATCACATCTCTTTTCACTAGCTTTACCTTCTTTTCACCTTTCTTCACAGGAGGTTTACGAAGCTGAGGCAAATCCTTATTGACTGTGGTTTGTCTTATAGATGATGCATGCTTCACACTACTTCTCAACAAACTACCAGCTTCTATTATCTGCTCTCGTTCCTCCTCCGAGATTGTGTATTCATAATCGGATTCTGCAGAGGATGCAATGTCTGAATCTGATGGCACGGTACGCCGACGCCTTGGCCTTGATGACTTTGTCTTCGCCTTCTTTCTTGCAGGTAGGCAGTCATCTACAAAATCATCATCATCTTCATCAACTCCTCTGTTAGTGTTTTTCCCACGTCTCTTTCTTCCCCTCGTCAAACGGGTTTTTGCAACAGAGCATTTCTTCCTTCTTTTACGACCTTCTCCAGATCTTCGCTTTCGCTTGTTTTTCTTACAAACCTTCAGTGACTTTTTGTTACATGCAATTGGTTCTTCCTCCTCTTCCTCATCTAATGAGACATCTTCATCTGCGGTAAAATCTTCATCGCCATCCTCATCCTCATAATCTCCATCATCTTCCTTTTCTGTCTCGTGTGACACATTGTCCTGCTCTTCCAATGCCATCATCCCGTCTTCTCCATCATGCAAAGAATTTAAATCCACATTTTCCACATCCCTCTCTTCCTCTTCCTCGCCATCCTCCTCTGGATAGTCTCCATCTTCATCCTCTATCTCATAGAAAACTCTCCTTCGCTTTCCTAAACCTATTCTACTACTGTGTTTCTCTCCATCCAAAGACCCAACTTTTCCAACAGCCTTCCTTGAATTCCTTAGATCCTCCTCTTCATCATCCGCATCATCAAGATCCACATCCTCGTTGTCAGACACAACTTGGTTCATCTTTCTTGACTTACATCCCGTGATTTTCCGGTTACCACGAGGACCAGTTTTCACTTTTGGCCACTCAACATTCCTCAGCATCACATCTTCCTCTTCCACCTCATCTAACTCCTCAGCCTCCACCGCATCGGACCCATCAAAACCATCAAAACCATCAAAGGATGGTTCACCGTCAACGGATGAGGCATACTCCTCCTTGAGATCAGCCTCAGACTCTTCTTCATCCTCGTCGGAAATCACATAATCCTCATCAGATTCATCAGAACCCTTATCCTTAGATCTAACCTTGCTATTAGAATTTCTAGCCCAAAAAGTGTTTCTCTTTCCCATATGCTCCTGAATTTGAGATTAACAATCGAAACAAACCACTAATCTAAATCTAAACCCCCTAAACTCATCAACCAAAACAACAATGATTCCTGTGATTGTTCTTCTCCTAAAGATTTATATAGCCTAACCAAATCTCAAACCTCAATTCTCCAATTCAGAGCACCAGATCTGCAAATCAAGCCAAAAACAAACAAGAAATCAAGAAACATAATTGAAAATCATAAAAGGTATCGATTTGATTCCGACCATAGAAATTCTACAGTTACCCAAAATTACTTAAATGCCAGTATTTAAATTCCGATCCTATAATAGAAACCAATATCTATCCAAAAGCAGAAACCACCACCCCTGGGAACACATCAATTAAATGAATTCTTCAATCTCCCGAGAGAGAGAGAAAAAAAAAAAAAAAAAAAAGTCAAAACACGAAAAAATAATAATACAAAATAAATTTACAGCTCCTATAATATACACAGAGATACATACACAGAACAAGAGAGACGAAGGGAAAAAAGAAAACGAACCTCTCCGATGAAGAAGACGATTATGATTTTTCAGCTAAATTTGTGAATCGTGATCCTTTTCCCCGCCTTATTTTCCTCTCTATTTACAACTATTTTTTTTTCCTTTTGGTAATGAGCCAAAATTGGGGAAAGGTATTTTGATTTGGTTTTAGTTAAGAGGCTAC